GAGGGTTCTGGGGGAGTATTCATCCCCAGAATTTTTTCTTCTTCTTGATTTCAAAATCAAGTGGGGCATTTTAAAGTATAGGTGAATTCAATGTTTCTATTACACTTTTTGATCAGGGAAAGGACATTTTTAAGGGTCTGGGGTAGCATTATAGTGCCTGTGCCACACAAAACTGAATTTACTTTAGTTGTGGCGTGCCCCATTTGGCATTTTCAACCCCATACTGTAACACTGATGAACGCGAGGGAAGGTGTTCGGAAATTGAGGGTGCTGAGGACAATCGCACAAATTCAAAATACAGGGGTGCATTTTGACTCCTCCTTGAATTCAGTGTTTTTTTTTTCAGACAATTTTTAGGCGACATTTGAAACTATCGTGTGGGACGCGCCAACATTAGCCACATTAATGATCAAAGACATCTTTAACGTCGCACCAGGGACTAAATTTATTCCAGTTGTGTTGCCCTTGAGAGTATGAATTTTCCCAAGCTTAATATCGCCTATTAAATCTTTTTAGTCCAAAATATTCTTTTGTCAAATTCAAATACAATAATGCATTTTGGCAAACACTTTAATTATGTATTGCAGAATTCTATACTTGGAGAGCAACGGAAGATATGCTAGTTTAAAAAAAAAAAAGATGTAGGTGTTACTTAACCTTAGAAACGTCGCGTGAGCCCAGAGACCCCTACGACTGGATTGGGCCTCGGACACTTTAGGGGCTTGAAGATGTNATGAAGTTTCCCAAGCTGAAAATCGCCTATTAAATCGTGTTAGTCCAAAAGATTCGTTGGTCAAATTCAAATACAATAATGCATTTTGGCAAACACTTTAATTATGGATTGCAGAATTCTATACTTGGAGAGCAACGGAAGATATGCTAGTTTAAAAAAAAAAAAGATGTAGGTGTTACTTAACCTTAGAAACGTCGCGTGAGCCCAGAGACCCCTACGACTGGATTGGGCCTCGGACACTTTAGGGGCTTGAAGATGTGATGTGAATATTTTCCTGACTTAACTTCTTTCCATGCCAGGTGGGGGGAGGAAAAAAACCAAAAAGTGGCAACAGGGGCCTTCAAAGGTTGACCGGCGGCTGTGCTTGACCTGCTTGGGTCAGGCAAACATCTTTAGTTACTAATAGTAATGTGACTTTCATTTTTTTAAAATTCAAATATTTTTTTTAGGCTTATCCAAATAATTAATCATTGAATTTTCAGAAGGAAAAAAAAAGGTTTCCATCACACACACAAAAAAAAAGCCCTGCTAACATCATTTTACTTGTTGAATGCGAATGAAAAAAAAAATGTACATTTGCTTAAAATAATAGCTTACGTATAATAATAACCGTTGCTAAATATATCAAACTTTTACCAGAATCAAATAGAAAAAAAACAACAAACTGTTAAGTAGAAAAGTCTAAAAATTTTTGTGTCATTAAAACTGGTCATTCTTATAAATCGTATTTTATTTTAATGTCATAATTATGTCTCTTTTGATACAATTTATGTACAGCGCAATGAGCCCAGCCCTAGGCTGGGGAACCGCGCTATATAAGACGTCTTATTATTATTATTATTATATGAAAAGACATTATTATGTAAAGATGACAGGATAGTTAACAAAATTAAGTATACATTTCCTAATATTAATTTGAATGAAAATTTTATTTGGAATTTCCAAAGGCTATAACTTTTTTTTCCAGAGAAATTACAATTTTCCTCTTAGATATAATTTAAAACATTATAGGGCCGAATCCGCAGAATTTACTTTAAATCGTCATAATTAGAAATAAGAATTCTTTTCTAAAACATGTACCGAAAAAAAAAAATGGAATTGGCACGATAATCCAAATGCTTGTCCAAAAAAACTTTTTTAATTTTTACATTTTGTTAAAGCCTTCTAATAGATTCTCATCTTGTAATTTAAAAAAAAAAAATCCGTAGAACTAGCAGAGGCGTCATTTCAGGGTTTTTTTCAGAGG